CAGTGGTCTTAGTTTTGAGGAGCTCTATAGAAATGCATATACAATGGTTTTGCATAAACATGGAGAAAAGCTCTACACTGGACTAAGAGAAGTCGTTACCGAACATCTCATAAATAAGGTATCCACCTTTAAAGGACTGTTGCTAATACTGTGTTGAATGTAGAAAATCTTTTATACCGTATTGTACTTTGACCAGAAGTATTCTTCTTGAGGGCCTCAGGAAGCTTATAGGAATTATTAATTCATGACTGTATTATAAAACCTCACTCAACTTATCAGCTAAATCAGAATTTTTGATAATTGTGGGAAGGTGAAGTTTGTGATCTATGTTAAATACATTTTCTATAACCATAATTAACAAAGCAAACATTCAGTAATTTACAAATGTTTATTTATTGATGTTAATTATAATTATTATTTCCTTAAAATGTTTTAATCAATTAGCCCATTTTAGTTTTCTCTCCTTTCTCTGTATATTTGGAAATAATAAAACCTACATTGTTTTAAAAATATTCTCTAAGACTTTTTACTAATTGAAATTGGCATTATTCATTTTAACTGACTTCCACTGTGGGAAATGTGAATTTTTTTTTTAAAGATAAATTAGTGGTAGGCTGTTAACATTATAATGTTAATGGTTTTTTTGATCCCAAAAAGATGTATTTTTTTAAGAACAAGTGTTTTTATCAGGCAGACTCCTCCACTGCACATAAAATATAATTTCACTTATAAAATAAGATTACTAAAGTCTTTTGCTTTAAGATTGTCAAATAAAATGTAAAATATCACAGATTCATAAAAACTTGGCATAGATTTGTGTGGTATTAGGGTATTCATTTTTTAAAGTTTATTTTGAAAACAAAACAAAAGTTGTACAAATAGTCCAATGAACTGTGTGTATCCGTAAACTAGATTCACCAGTTAACATTTTGCCACATTTTTGCCAATCTTTCTGTTGATACTTATTGCTGAACAATTAGAGAATAGGTTTTAGATTTCAATTACCCTAAGATACTTCGTAACATTTCTTCTGAGAATACGGAAATTTTCATATTTAACCAAAGAACAGTGATCAAAATCAGGCAATTTAACATTAGTATAATACTGTTATTTAATATAGTTCATATTTAGATTTTACCGGTTTTATGCAGTAGCAATTTCTTTTATAGCAATTTGTTTTCTGATCAAGGATCTGATCCAGGATCACACACTCAGTTCCTTAGCCTTTCTTTGTCTTTTAGCACACTGACATTTTCGAAGAGTATAGCTCAGTTGTTTTGTAGATTGTCGATCAGTTTTTGGTTTGTTTGACTGTTTTCTCATGACTAGTTTCAGGTTATGCATTTTTGGCAGGAATAATACATAAGTGATGTTGTGTCCTCAGTGCATCACATCAGGAGGCACATGATGTCAGTTTATCCCATTATTGGTGATGCTAACTTTGATCATTTGGTGTCCGCCAGATTTCTCCACTGTGAAGGTACCTTTTTTCCCTTTGTAATTCAAAGTAATCTGTTCAGATATATTTTGAGACTGTATAAATATTCTGTTCCCCCAGAAACTTTCATGTGTTGGTTTTAGCATCCATTGATGATTCTTGCATGAATCATTATTACTGTGGTGGCTGTAAAACAGTAACTTTCTATTTCTTCTCTTCCTTTTATACTTCCTTTCTCTTAAATGGGATTACGTGATCCAGGTAGTTATTATCTTATGAAGCAGAGTGATTGTGTTCTTCACATAATCAACAGTTTTTTAAGGCCTACTATGCGTGACTTTCAATGAAAATATAGTGGGTGTAAAGAGATATGAACTCTCTCTTCCTGGGGTTTTTACTCTGATGTGAGAGATGATAACATTTAGGTAACAGTGTGACAAATTATGTAATTAAGTGGCAAATGACGTGTATAGGCAAAAAATGGTTTAGAAACTCAATTGAAGGAGAGATTACCTTGGATTGTAAGATATCATGAGAAAGGATAAAATTGAACAGCATGGAAGGCATTCCGTGATGGCAGATGTCGTGGGATTATGTAGAGATGAACTGGTTACATTTAGGTGGTAAGTGAGATATGTAATGATTATGGGGATTAGCAGGTTATAGTGTTACAAAGATGGTTTGGGAACAGATTGTAGAAAAATTTAAATGCCAGTCTGAGGAATTTGGACTAAACAGTGGGAGTTAATGGAGGTTTTTAAGTGGGTGATAATGTGACAGAATATTTGAAGATGTGATTTTAAGTGGGTGATAATGTCACAGGATATTATGGGAATGATATAAATGTAGAAACAGGAGGAGGTTTACTTCGGAGAAGACCTGGAAAAATCGGGGTAAAGTGATAGGCTAGAAATGAATGGATGATGTCAGTAATATCTTCTGAAGTAAAACTAGACAGAATTTGGTTGCTGAGAGAATTATGTTGCTACCAGTGAAGTTATAGTGGAAATATTGTGAAGTTATAGTGGAAGATTGATTTGGAATGGGTAGAGGAGTTGATAAGTTTTGTTTTAGGTTATATTGAGAATTTTTATAGTTGGAAGTTACCTTAGGAATTATTTTACATGTGAGGAAAACTGAGTGTGAGATCATAATAAGATGTGCAAATAGAAATATTATATGTTTGGAGAGATAATAGGTTTAGACCTAGGGCAGATACTTAAAACTAGATATGGAGATTTGTCACTTGGTAGAACATATTGAGAAGTGTTGGAGTTGAGAGAATGAAGAACCCAGAGCCAAGGAATGAATCTCCAGGAGCAAACTATGGTAAGTAGGAGTAGGAAATAAAGAAGAATAATTTAAGAAGTTTGGCATCAAAAGAAAGGAAAAGTAGAATGTAAGAATTTGGATTAAAGTTACTGAAGGGGAGAAGATTGGAGCAAACAAGTTCTTGAATATGGAAAGAATATGGGTTAAGAATAATGGAGAAATAAATTTAGAAGAGGGGCATGTTCTCATTTCCAGATGTTCTATAGGGAATGATGATAATGATTGCAGCTAACTCTTACTTAGCATTTACTATGTGCTAGGCCCAGTTCTAGTGCTTTTATATGTATTAACTAATGGTCACAAACCAATGCACCAGGTACTACTGTTATCTCTGTTTTACAAATGAAGAAATCAAAGCACAGAGAATTGGCTACTTGTCCAAATGTACATAGCTAGTAAGTGGCCTAGCTGGATCTGAATTCAGATAGGGTAGCTTCAGGCTGAGCTCTAAACTTCTCTATAGATGTGTTCATGGGGCAGAATGAATTGATCAAGATGCAATAAATATGCTGAAATTGAGGGTGGTTAAGGGAAAGTTAATTTATTCACTGTTCGAAAAACTGGAGTCCTTTAAATTCCAGGACTCCTTTAAATTTTACTTACGTCTAAAATGAAGGAGTTGGAAGCAATATCTCCGAGATTCCTTATTTCCAAAATTATTATGAATCTAATAATTAAACTATCCATCTTCTGAAAATGTGATGAAGTGACTTGGAGTCGTCCTTGTGGGGAATATACTAAGGAATTCACAAGTGAGGACAAAGATAGTAGGAGTTGGCCTGAATGTGTGATTTGTCATTTTTTTTTAAAGCAATGCTTTGCAGGTTGGACACAGATGGAGAAAAAAACATGTGTAATCATGTGTTATGGTTAAGAATTGGCTCATCCAAAAAGTGAGGAGGAGGGAAGGCCAGAGTGTGAGGTCAGTGTTTAAGTGACTGATTTTTGGACTCTGAAACATGGTCAAGTAGATATTGAAGTCATGTGATTAGTAATATCTCCGTGAAAATTCTAGGAGCTTTAGCATATTGTAAGTTGCTAAAAATGGTTCTATATCTAAGATTAACTATAGTCTTTGTCAGCTGGGGGTGCTATAACAAATACCATAAACTGAGTGGCTTAAACAACAAGTGTCTATTTCTCATAGTTCTGGAGGCTGGAAGTTCAAGATATGGTGCCTGTAGAATCAGTTCCTGGTGAAGGCCATCTTCCTGTTTTGCAGATTGCCTCTTCCTTGCTGTATCCTCACATGGCAGAGAAAGAGATAATCTCTGTCATGTTTCTGCTTTTATAAAGGCACTAATCCTATTCAAAGGCCCCCATCTCCAAATACCACCATCACATTGAAGATTAGGGCTTCAAAATATGAATTTTTTTTTTTTTTTTTTTTTTTTTTTTTTTTTTTTTTTTTTTTTTTTTTTTT